TAAGTATTTGTAGCAAACATATTTATTTTATTGGTATGTAAGATTGTCATAAACAATTGTAGTATCTGCTATTAACATTTTTCTTATTTTAGAAGAAAATGGTATGCATAATAACTGATTATAATATTTGTCAAATTTTTCTACTTGTATTTGATTTTCATCTGGTTGTTTCTAATACAAATTAATCCGATAATTATTTATTCAAAATTTTGTAATATATTTTGACAGATTACATACCACTTTAATTAAAGCAGACTTTCATACTAAATTTTGTAATTGACTTCTACAATATAGAATACTTTTTTTTTTAATGTTTATGTGTAAATAATTTTGTTTTAGTTCCTAAATTAATATTTTTATTAAATCAAAGAATTTTATAATTAATAAATAATATTTGAAAAAGAAGAATTATTAAAATAGAATATTTTTAATGACTAATTTCTATAGAAAGAATTAAAAAGTAGAACATATACTGAAATTAATGTTAAATTAAATAAAGAAAGATTATTTGCTTTGCATTTATTTACATGCATACTTTAAACATTATTTTTAAAATTGTTTTATGAATTAAAATTTCTTTACAAAATGGATTCTTTACTGCAAGTGTAGAATACATGTTTATTTTCAAATTTATTAAATATTTAGTAATTAACCACACTGTGGCAATTTAGAAAAATGTTAAGAGAACGTATAAAATATAAAATTTCAATATATTATAAATAGGATTAATGATATAATTTCAAGTAATATTTAGCTATAAAATTTTTATATACTTTATATAATTAATTTAATTGAATATTGAATTTAGCACTCACTAGAAATTCTTAATATTCTATCAAAACATTACAAAAATTTTAATGTCATAAATTATTATACTAGCAATATTAATAACATAAACGTTATGTGAAAATTAAATTATTAGTATTTTTTTTAATGAATGTAACATGAATATTATTAATATCGAGCATAATTATAGACAGGTATTGATGAAAATGAATAGTACTAACAACAAGCTTCAATTTACTATTAAATTAACAAAATATAATATTATAAATTTTTCACTTGTCATACATAATATAAATGAGCAGTTTCAAATTATTTTATTGTTTAGAATATGGTAATATGTAGTCTACAGGCCATAAATTTGAAAAAAAGGATCTGTTTTAAGAATACGGTACAAAAATGTGGTAAATAAAACATATATTGTTTTAAACAAATTGATGAACTTGTACAATATTAAATCAATAATGATTTAATAGTTCAAAATTATAAGTTATACATAGAACAGACAAAAATTTACAATATGCAATACAAAATGGTCACAGAGAAAAATAAAATTATGAAATTATTATATTCATATTTCTAATACACACTTACATAAAGTAATGTCTTGTAAATGTACACTATTTATGATTAAGTAATCAATCCTATTTTTCTTAACTGTAGGTCATCATATTGCAAATTCTTACTAGATTAACAAAGAATCTGGACGTTATGTTAACTCTTAAGCAGGAAGCCTCTAACTTTCTTATAATTAAAGAATAAAAACATTTAAATAATTCACATCATTCATTGTACCGTACTATTAAATTTCATTAAATCATCTAATATAATTCAGTGATAATTAAAGTCTTGATTTCTATTTGATTATAATGTTATGAATTGTGAAAATAAAAGGAAGAGGATGAATAATCTGATAGATATCAGCGCATACGATAAGTATTAGTTTCGTGTACTTGGCACAACTCTCCTTTGAAGTCCAGTTCAATGCTGAAATCCAGATCTCTGTAATTCCTTGCATTAGGCTTCATTGAAAATACACCGTATATTTCTTCTCCTTTTTTAACTGTCATATATTCATCAAAGTAGAATACAGTTTGTTTCCAATGAGTATACTGTACTTCTGGTGCTGTACTGAAGCCTATACGTTTGTGGCACTTGGTGAATTCGATGTTGAAGAATGTAACTAGTGCTTGTACATAGTCGTTTCTACGAACTTGTAAAGTAAATGGCGATGAAAATTCCAGATCAGCCTTAGTTACTGTGTATAAATCAACTTCTTTGATGAGGCATGCATTTGTAACAACTTGTTTTGGGTCCACAACATCCACTAGAGGTTCACTAATCGCTACTTTCCTTATACTACTCATATCAAATCCATATACATCATCCCACCAGTTTATCTTCTCGTCTTTATATTGTCTGTCTTCAATGCCGCAAATAAATAAAGTTGCTTTGTCAGGAAATAACATTCCATCTTCACGAAGCCATTTATCTCTAGCAAAAAGCACTGTATCTAACATTGATTCATAAAATAAACAATAACCCATCCATTCAGAAATAATTATATCAACTTTCTCAATGCCGTCAGGCAGTGAGACTTCTTCAACTTTTCCTTTAAGTATTGTTATGACATTAGACAATTGATTTGCTTCAACGATCTTCTCTGCATATTCGACGATATTAGAACACTCAATACCAATAACTCTAGCTGCTCCAGCTTTGGCAGCAAACATTGAAAGTATACCAGTTCCACACCCAATATCAAGAACGGTTTTTCCCTTGAACAGGTGTTTATTGTGATACATGGAATTACGGTAAGTCACTGTACGCACTTCGTCTTTCAACATTTCTTCATGAATTCCATAATGTGCATATGAGTCGAAATAATAATCTCTAGAAGTCATATCATCCACAGAAATAGATTCTCTGCAAGATGATGGTGCTGCATCTTTGTTTGATGCAGTGATATTTTCTGTAACTTCCATGGATTCCATTTTTGATACCTACATAATGCAAAAAGCCAAAATTAATATTAATAATAAATTATACATATACGCACTAATACAAAACTAAACATCGTAATATTACTATATTATTCAATAAAAGGACATTATTACTTAAAAAATTTATTTCTATATAATATTAAACCATTATTTTACCAAACAGACTAAAAAAAAATGATTATTTTTAGTTAAAATGTTACTCAGTAGATAATATTAATTTATTGTTAATGTGTGCGTGTGTGCGTGTGGTGTGTAAAAAAAGAACCTACAATTATCTACAAACACGTGATACGATCTCATTATTTCAAACTAATATATATATATAAATTTTCTTTTTCACTTGGATATATAGTAAAATTGAATTATTATTAAACATTAATTACAATGTTGTTCATCAGTAACACCTAAGATTTCAAGATGCTGAAATTGTCGAAAATATCTTCGTTCCGGCCGATACCAAAGAAACATATACACGTGCCCGCCAAAACGAATGGCGTCTGTTAAGATCGAATGATCAGACGAGATTCTTTACACGCACACACATATTTCTGTACGACGTGTGACGAGTAGTACATATATGCAGTCGGATACAGCTTAAGTTTCTTTCGAACAATATCGTAATATGTGATTTCGAAACGAATGAAAAATATTTCTTCACGACACGTTTTCGAGAACGTAGGAAATTGAGATCGGGCCAATCAATTTGTTTTTAGGATACTTAATACCACCGAGATACTATTATGACAAACGACGTTCAAACATATTCCTCTTTTAAAGGTTTATGAAATATTGCACGCGGTTCGTAGCGATATTAATATATTAACAGCAACTATTACGTTCTCTCTTCGATTTTATGAAAATATTCAGCATAAAACTTACTGAATTTCCTGCTGTGCACATGCCACTCTGGTTGATTTCTACCGGCACTTCATTACTCGACGCCATTTTGTTCCGCGTCACAGCAGACGACTACAGACAGGAACGTATTATAAAGGCACATGGCAAGCTCCAACGACGGTTCTGTCAACACAAGTATTCGCCCATGATCGACAAAATTTAATTACTGATTTTCTTGTCAATTTATTTTTCCTACTTGGCAATAACGTTCAGTCGGAAACTGACACGACAATTTAATTGATATTCTAGTCAAATTTCGTTGTCATTACGATAAATACAAATACTGAAAGCACGACTACATAGCAATATTCTACATTTTTATACACAGCTTTTAAATTCATGCGTATTGCTTTTTATTTCCAAATTAATTACTACAGAAATTTTTCAAATGACAACAATATATATTTAGTAGTAGTCAATTTCATGTGCAATATGTATATAATATATGTACACATATTCATGTAATGAAAAATTACTACTACGTATTTATCGTAACGCGTGATATATAGTATCTCGTTCGATTTAAAAATAATTTCAAATGTTCGAGAGGCATGCGTCAAGAGACAGAAATTGTAAATCTAAGGTTTACAAGATCTTCTGTGCGTGATCGCACAGATCATTTACAAACGATCGTTTCGTATACGTAATTCTCACGGTAAAATCGTCTTAATCTCTTAACAGATACAAAAATTATATAACCGTTCGCACAGTACGTCGTACGATTGTTTTATGAAAAATAACGATCTCGAACACGGTGTTTTTCCCTGCAAGTGTACTAGTGTTTCTAGCAATCCGCGTGATACGCACACGTGAAATTCAGCAGGAAAACTACACCAAACGATTCGCCATTCGTATGAGGGATCACTTTTCTCGTGAAATGACCCAACGGAGACGACCATCCAAAATTGCGATGTACGCGAGTAACGTTGATACACCCCTGTCGTATGCGCAGTGCGGCCCTTCTACCATTTCGATTTTTACCTCGAAACAGATATTCATTTGTTTCGAGACGTTATTGAAAAATCATAACTCATTTACGCGATCCCGTATACGACGGAATCGCGAGTAACTTCACGGCGGGAGGTTAACTTTAATTTTGTATCTTTGCTCAGTTGTTTTCAGAAAGTGCAAAGACATCGTCCAATAGGAGTCGAGTGGCTAGCTGACAAGTTGCGTCGGGGTGGAAATGGGCAGGGAACAGGAGCTTGTACGCACTCGAGCCGTGAGGTATTGGTTTCGTGAAGGGGGCCAGATTCTCTCGGTCAAGTGGATTTTTCATGTGTTATTACTTCCAACGATATAATGTAAACTGTCGATTTTGATGTCACTCACGTGCCACTGTCTTAAGATTATTTATATGGAGATCGTGGAGCGCTAGAAGATGTTGGTAAGGAAAACAGGCGGGAGTAAAGTTGACGTAGAAACAAGTGCGCAAAGATTGTATAGTTGAGTTCCTTTTCTGTTTTTTTTCTTTCCTTTTCTCTCTCTCTCTGCCGTGCGTATAGAGAAAGCAAAGATCTCGTGCTTTTGTTATGTAGTTACAACTTTCGCAGGTCGTTTACTTCGGATGAGTATTTCGCCTAAGGTACCTTCGAGGTTACGACTATTACCTGATGTGTGAGAAATCGACAGGCTGTCATGAACGTAGCGGACTCCGTTTCGAAAACGTGATTAAGATATCAAAGTACGAATTTCATTTCAACCGGGAGAAATGTCGTCGTGCGAAAGTTCTTGTTTATCGTAGGACAATTATAGGCATAATATCGTTGAATACCTGGCATGATCGTCTACATAAACAACAGCTCGTCGTACGAAGCAGCTGACTTTTTCTGTCAATTTTCATACGTTTGTCGTTCGGTTTCTGTCATTGATAACAAGCCGTAATGATGTTTCGAAGGGGATTAGACGTCAGTTTTCGATATATCTTCGAGACCTAAGAAATAATAATAATTAATAAAAAATAGAAATCATTTCGTTACTATTACGTTGATATCAATATTATGTAAATATAAAGTATAGACGAGATGTGAATATTTCATTTCATACCCATCTTTTTACTTTAGATGAAGAATGAATGTACGACGGCTATGAAAGTATGTCGTGAACAGGAATTATATTTAAGAAGTACAGATGTTAAATGTATATATTTTTTCTGTTACAGGGAGACGATCCACCGTACCTATCTGTGGGTACGGAGGTTAGCGCTAAATACAAGGGTGCCTTCTGTGAAGCAAAGATTCGGAAAGTAGTAAGATCGGTGAAATGCAGAGTAACATATAAACAAGGTTTGGGTACAGCGACAGTAGCTGATGATCAAATAAAAGGGACTTTAAGAGTAGGGGCATCCGTTGAAGCTAAACATGGAGATAGAAAAGAATTTGTGGAAGCTACTATCACTAAAATTCAAGACTGTAGTCAATATACAGTAGTTTTTGATGATGGAGATATTACAACATTAAGGAGAACTGCGCTTTGTTTGAAGAGTGGAAGACATTTCGCAGAGAGTGAAACTTTGGACCAACTTCCTTTAACACATCCGGAACATTTTGGAAATCCAGTAATCGGAGGAAGAAGAGGACGGCGGTCTAGACAAGCACAGTGAGTGTGGAGAAGTAATATGCGCAGAGCAAAGTAATTTGTATTATTGCTTATAAAAATTGTTGTTATAGAGATGAAAGTAGTGATGATGAAGATAGTCCTCCACGAGGAACTCGTGATTCAGGTTCTAATGGAACAGGCAAAGAAGGAATGGAGACGGAACCTGAAATTGGACGAGTTGTATGTGTAGAGCTTGGAGATAAAAAGAAAAAAGATAATTGGTTCCCTGGATTAGTGGTCGCTCCAACTGCTCAAGATACAGTGAGAATTCGAGTAAGAGATGACTACCTTGTGCGCTCGTTTAAGGATGCACGTTAGTAAGTATAGTCGTATGTAAGCAAATTTTCTGGAAAATATGAAAAGAAAACAGAAAAATTTATAACAACAAAATATTTCTTTCTATTCGTATCTATTCTAAAAGTCGGTAATATTTATTTAATTTGTTATATTTTAACAAACCTTGTGTATACTTTTAAACGTTCTTATAGTTTTAAACAATTATATAAAAAATATACAAAAAATTAATTATGTATTAATATTTATTTTATTATGTTCTATTATATTGCTATATTATTTTTTGCACATTTAGCTATACAGTTCCAAAGAAAGAAGCCACTGAATTTACAAAAGAACTTGTCAACAAAGTTGAGAATAGCACATTGAAGGTTGCAGTAGAAAAGGCATTGCTATTTTTAGAAAAGAATGAATTACCTCCCCATTGGGATAGAGATTCTCTTTTTGGACATTCTGTATCAAGTGGAAATAGTGATTCTGATGGAGAACTTGATTCTGATGTAAGATTCCTTTTTTAATTTCAATTATTTCTATTTTAATTTGTTATCCACATATGTTGTACATATAACTTATTTTACAGAGTTCTGACGATGAACCGCGTGAGGAAAAAGATCATTTTGTAGCACAATTATACAAGTTTATGGATGATCGTGGTACACCTATTAACAATTGTCCAATGATCGGATCTGAAGATATAGATTTGTATAGGTTATTTCGAGCTGTTTATAAGTTAGGTGGCTATAATCGTGTAACAAATCAAAATCAATGGAAATTAATAACGCGTCGCTTGAGCTTTACAATGCAAAATTCACCATCTACGCACAATTTGGTTAAACAAGCCTATAAGAAATTCTTACACTCCTTTGAGGACTTTTATAGAAAATTAGGTTGTACCATGGTAAATCATCCAAGGGGTACTATACGCAAACAACGTCCTGGAAGAAGTTTAATCAGAGATAAAGACAGAAATACCCCTGTACCACCTCAAATATCTGTCACTAAAATTGAAAAGGAAGAAGAAGATAAAAAAGTCACGGAAGAAGAAAAGAAAGAAAAGAAAGAAATTAAAAAAGAACAGCCAGTAAAAGAAGAAGAAATAGTAAAGATAAAAAAGAAGGATGAATTTGAAGAAAGCGGTAGCGGACAAGATAGTGACGTGAATGTTGAGGCTGAAGCTGAATCTTCATCCAGTAGTGAAAAATCTCAAAAAATTTCGACGTCCTTATCATTACCAAATAGAAGCAAATCTAAAAATAAAGAAGACTCAAAAAAAAAAATAATAGAAAAAAAGAAAGCTGAACCTAAAAGACAGGAGAAGAAAGATGATAAAATAAAAGAAGAAGATGCTGCTAAAACAAGATCTAAATCTAAAGATGATAATGTAAAAAGTAAAATATCTTCTGAAAATAGGGAAACACGAACTCCATCGAGAGAATCGGAAAGAAAGACTTTATCCAAACAAAGGAGATTAATAGATGAGGATCTGAAGAAACGAGGGAGGAAACGAAAAGAGTATGAAGCAGAAAAATCACGTACAGATGAACAGTCAGCAGATTCAGCTCCGTGTTACAAAGGTCCTGTAGAATTAGGAGATAGACTAAAAGTATATTATGGACCTACTCACGAATCTAAAGTTACTTATGAAGCAAAAGTGATTGATATGGAAAAAGATGGTACAGAACCAATGTATTTAGTACATTATACTGGATGGAATACGAGATACGATGAATGGATTAAACCATCAAGAATAGCACAGAATTTTACACAAGCTCAAGGTAGAATGAAACGAATTAAAGCTACTTCACGACCTCAAACTCCTAGTACGAATTTATCAAATAACATAAATAAGTCATCAAAAATTGTTTCTAACACTAGTTCGAATACTTCGCAAAACCGACGTCGAGCACAAAGTGTTGCACCTACTACATCAGTTATTTCGTCTTCTTCAACAAAAGAAGTCAAGAAAGAAGAAAAAGAAAAAGAAATATCTCAACCAGTTAGATCTACGACTCCATTATCTGTTATAAGTTCTAGCTCTAGGACGAAAAGTCCAGCGACACCGGCAAATAATCGTCAAACACGAACAAGAAATAATGATATGTCAAGTATAGAACACCGAAGGCGTACTAGAAGAACTTCTGGACACGCGGATATAGTTCCATCAGAAACTGAAGAAAGTGAGACATATGATTCAGATACTACAGAATCAGAACAAACACGAACAAAATCTAAGAGTGTAGAGGAAAGAAAACGTAAAGAAGCGAGATATAGAGTAGAAGATAGAATGAAACCTGACGAAACTAGCGAGGGTGAAGAAGATAAAGATAATTTAGAAGAACCGCGTAGAGGTAGGCGGTTAAGAAGGACGATCAGTAAATCGCAAGGTATAAAATCTGAACCAGATAGCGATGAAGAACAACCGAAAGGTCGAGATTTTGACTTGAATCAAATACGATCTGAATTAAAAGGTTTTGATAAAGCAGTAAAATTGGAACTTGTTAGGGTTGAACCAGATCCAGAAGACGAGATAAAAATAGAAGAGAAGGAAAATGTTGTTTCAGTTTCACCAAAATTAGAGAAAAATTTAGAAGCATCGAAATTAGAAACAATGCCTGAATCTAAAGTAATAGATAACACAGAAGATATATATGAGTTTAAAGAACCAGAACCATTTGAATTTGAAGTGCGAAACAAACGGGATACAAGCGGAGAAAAGGATAAAATAAAGAAGAGAGTATTTGAAGAAGAGCCAAAAAGTCCTAAGAAAAAGCAAAAGATAGTTGTATCACCAGTTATTAAAGAAGTTAAATCAGAAACAGATAATGATTCACGAAAGAAAGTAAAGAAATTATTTAGCAAAAGAACTGACGATATTACAGATAATTTACATTCTCACAAATCGCTACAATCTACATCATTAACAACATGTGAAGAAGCATTTGATAAGCTTTGTGAATCGCCATCATTCAATCAAGTGAAACCTATACCTATTATTGAGGAGACAGGTAAAATAAATAATGGCATAGATCTTTTATTCAGTGATCTACCTGGAGATGATGATGCTACTCATGATGATTCAGAAGATCGTTTGATAATATCAGAGGCAGAAGTTTCAGAAACAGAACAAGAAAACTTATTTACATATCAACAAGAAATGTTTCCTTCTAATGACGGAAATGATTTAACGGAATCAAATAAAGAAGATACAAGTTTACAAATTGAATCGGTAAGGGAAGATATAACGTTAACGGTCTCAAATAAACCTGATATAGTTGTTGAGCAAAAACAAAATATTAAATCTCCATTACATAGTCAATCTCCAGAATTAAAACCATTGGATTCAAAATTGTTAGATATTACACCCGTTCCATCTCCAATTGTAACAGTTCCAGCACCAATTAGTGCGAGATTACCAGCTACATCTACAATTGAAGAAAAACTTTCAGCTGCCATGGCTTTTCGTAGTAAAACTAAAGATGTTAAAAAAGAAGATGAGATTCCTGAAGTTATATGGAAAACATCAAAGGAAATTTCTAAGAAATTAGATACTACAGTTGTACAAAAAAGTAAAGAAGAACAGGGGCCTAAGATTGAAAGTGAAAATAATAAACGAGAAGAAGAAGATATTGTAATAAGTAATGAAAACCAATGTGAAGAAATAATGTGTGTAGTAATTAAACAAAAAGAAGAAGAACTTCAACAGTTTAAACCAAAAAAAGAAGTAGAAATTAAAAAATTCGTTGAAACAAAAATAGAACATACAAAAATACAAGAAAAAGAAGAAGAGGAATGGAAACGTGTAGAAAATGAAAAATCAAAAAAGATAGAGGATGAATTTAAAGAACATGATTTCAAAGAAAAAGAAAGTCATAAGAAGATAATCAGTCAAGATATGGTAGACTCTGCAGATAGTAGTGATTCTGAACAGAGACTAATAATTGATAATGAGGAGTCACAAGATGTCAAGAGTTCAACATCAAATTTTGATGTTAAATTAAGAGCAGAATTAGATAGACTTCAGGACACACAGGAAAGATATTCACAATTACAAACGCAAAAATCTATGCAACCACTAAAGCATCAGCAGCAAGAATGCGTTACTGAATTTAAAGCTGAGATTAAAGAAATTCCTGTTACGAAAACGGATGAAGAGGGAGAAACAATTAATTCCTTATTATGTGAAGAAGAAATACCTGGTTCACCAGCGCCTATTACTGAAAATATAGAGCAAATAAATGCTGGTCCATCCTGTTCACCTCCAAAAGTTGAGGCTGCAGAAAATAATATAGTATTAATGGAAATGCCATTTGCAAGTGCTCCTACATCTGGTCAAAGTACAACCAGCAGTACTGTTGCTACTCTCAGCATGGCGCTGCCAAAAACTGTAGAAACATCTGTACCTGTTTCTTTATCTATGCAACAAAATCCAACTTTGAGCATGAGACAACAGCCTCATCATCAACATTTATCTGCGTTAATGCCTGCACAGAGAAGAGAAAGCAATGAAGCAGCACCTGTAATGGATAATACCCCTCCGACTACACCTGATTCAAGTATTTCCAATATCTCTGGCTCTCCAAGAGAAGAAAGAACAGGAGGTTCATCACCAACCTCAGAAGATAACATGAAACATAATCGTGATAGTTCTGAAGCAGATAATGATAGTGGTGGGAAAGGTCCAGGATTCAGTGAAGATGATACATTACCAAATGTTGAAGGAAATTCTACAGATAGAATATTAAAACCACCAGCAAAAAGAACTATTGAAGAAACACAATCTCCGAAAAAACGTAAAAGAAACAGAAAGCATTCAGAATGTGATAAAAATATTACTAAAAAGACAGGAAGACATAGTAATAGACATGGTAGACATGGTGGTGGAAGCGATAGTGACGATACGAGTGAAGGTTCTAATTTATGTGGAGTTAATTCAACTTCAGCAAATCACACAAATATTGCTAGTGTTCCCGATCTTAGTAACTACTCATCGAGATCACCTCGGCCGACAAAATATAATTTCTATGTAGAATTAGGTAATGGATCGGATAGTATCCTTCTTTTAATTTTAATTTATTATCAGCAAAAAAAATATTGACGTTTTATTTTTATTGCAGATCCTGAATTAGATGGTAGTCAAAGGATAGCTGTATTACAGCAAAAATTAGCTGAATTACGTAAAACATATAATGCTGTGAAAGTCGAACTTGCCGCTATTGAAAGACGCAGAAAAAAGTTAAGAAGGAGAGAACGGGAAGGTAAATACATCTGAAAGAAAAAATCTTTACATAAAACTTGTTATATAAAAGATTTTATATAAAAAAATATTTAATTTTAGCCATAAAGGCAGCTAAAGCAGAAATGCAACAGGCTTGTTCGTGATGAGCTGCCTTGAAACATCCTAATTCACTCAGTTTGCACTAAAGAAACTTTTATACAACACCCAGAGATAATAGTATCATTATATAGATACCTTGCAGTTACAGCAGATTTCATGACAATTTTTATTTACCTAACGTCGTTTGGGTAACTTTTCCCCCATTAATATAAATTGTAGATATAGCTATAAGATTTAGTATAAA